AGCCAAGGACAGAGATCTTATGGTTACAGTGCAGATGAAAGAATGGCTTGAAGTGAATCAGGGAGCAGCAGACAGTGAAAGAGGATTATTTATGGTCATTAAACAGTAGCAAAAGTCTGTTTCAGGTACTTGAAAAATTAGTATTTAGGTTGAATTGCTTATTATCTGACATGATATAAAGATCTTAGAACTGATATCTTAATGGCCAGAGCCCTTGAAGTCCACCAGAATTTATCTATATATTGTAAGTCATTTACACTTGCCTTTCATCTACTAAGTCTATTTCAAAAGTTAGTAAATATGTTTCCAAAGGATTTCCATTTTTAAAAAAATTGACATGTACCTTGCTTTGTATTATACTAAAATATGATGTCAGCACAGATTAATCTCCTAAATTGCTTTGATTTTGTTCAGCTGAAGCCTTGGGGAGCACTGAAGCCAAGGCTGTACCCTACCAGAAATTTGAGGCACATCCTAATGATCTGTATGTGGAAGGACTACCAGAAAACATTCCTTTCAGAAGTCCCTCATGGTATGGAATCCCACGGCTGGAAAAAATCATTCAAGTGGGCAATCGTATTAAATTTGTTATTAAAAGGTAAGATTATAATCTTCAGAAACAAACAACATGTTTGTAAGAATCTTTTTGTAAGAAAAGATTAACTTGATGAAGATGAACCTTTTGTTCTTCTCAAATTAGGATTTCTCTGTATTTAAAATCAAGGTATTACATAGTATCAGCATTACATACACAAAATTGGGTTGAACAAGAACAGTAAAGTGTTACTGAGCATTTTCAGGGGAGAAGGTGAAGGTAGCACATCTAGATTGGTCTTTCGTGCATACAGAATAGAGGAAAGGCATTTTTTTTTTTTTTTAATAGTTGGGGATTCAAAGTTGAGGGTACAAAGAACCAGGTTACATTGATTGCATTTGTTAGGTAAAGTCCCTCTTATAATTGTGTCCCGCCCCCAAAAGGTGTGTCACACACTGTGACCCCCCCCACTCCCATCCTTCCTGCCCTCTCTCTGCTCTTCCCTTCCCCCACTCCCCGCCCTCCATTCTTCTCTCTGCTGTCCCCTTCCTCCACCCCCCACTGTGTACTAGGTCATCAACTGTCCTCATACGAGAATTGAGTACATAGGATTCTTGCTTCTCCATTCTTGTGATGTTTTACTAAGAATAACATGCTCCACTTCCATCCAGGTTAATACAAAGGATGTAAAGTCTCCATCTTTTTTAGTAGCCGAATAGTTTTCCATGGTGTACATATACCACAGCTTGTTATTCCATTCCTGGGTTGGTGGGCATTTAGGCTGTTTCCACATTTTGGCGATTGTAAATTGAGCTGTGATAAACAGTCTAGTACAAGTGTTCTTATGGTAAAAGGATTTTTTTCCTTCTGGATGGATGCCTAGTAATGGGATTGCAGGATCAAATGAGAGGTCTAGCTTGAGTTCTTTGAAGGTTCGCCCTACTTCCTTCCAAAAAGGTTGTATTAGTTTGCAGTCCCACCAGCAGTGTAAAAGTGTTCCCATCTCTCCACATCCATGCCAGCATATGCAGTTTTGAGATTTTGTGTTGTGGGCCATTCTCGCTGGGATTTGATATCTCAGGGTGGTTTTGATTTGCATTTCTTTAATAATTAGGGACAATGAGCATTTTTTTTGTAGGTTTGTTAGCTATTCGTCTGTCTTCCTTAGAGAAGGTTCTATTCCTCTCTCTTGCATATTGATACATGGGATTGTTGGCTTTTTCCTGTGGATTAATTTGAGTTCTCTATAGATCCTAGTTATCAAGCTTTTGTCTGTTTCAAAATATGCAAATATCCTTTCCCATTGTGTAGGTTGTCTATTTGCTTTGGTGTCTCCTTAACTGTACAGAAGCTTTTCAGTTTAATTAAGTCCCATTTGTTTATTTTTGTTATTGTTGCAATTGCCATGGAAGTCTTCATAAAGTCTTTTCACAGACCAATATCTTCAGGGGTTTTTTCTACACTTTCTTTGAGGATTTTTATCGTTTCATGCCTTAAATGTAGGTCTTTTATCCATCTTGAATCAATTTTGCTGACTGGAGAAGCGTGCGGGTCCAGGTTCATTGTTTTACATGTGGATATCCAATTCTCCCAGCACCATTTATTGAATAGGGATTCTTTCCCCAGTGTATGTTCTTTTTTGGTTTATCAATGGATTAGGTGGCTGTAAGATGTTCGTTTCATTTCCTAGTTTTCTGTTCGATTCCAAATGTCTATGTCTTTATGTTTGTGCCATTACCATGCTGTTTTGACCACTATAGCCTTGTAATACAGCTTAAAGACTGGTATGCTGATGCAACCAGTTTTGTTTTTATTGCTAAGAATTGCCTTCACTATATGGGGATTTTACTCGTTTCATACAAGACAAAGAATTACTTTTTTCCAAGTCTTAAAAGTATGATGTTGGTATTTTAATAGGGATGGCATTGAATCTGTAGATTGCTTTGGGAAGTATAGACATTTTAACAATGTTGATTCTTCCTAGCATTGTATGTTCTTCCATTTGTTAATATCCTGTGCTATTTCATTTCTTTCTTTCTTTTTTTTTTTTTAGTATGAGATATTCCAGATCTATTGCTTGATTTATTTATTGTTTCTATTTATTTATTTATTTATTTAGAGACAGAGTCTCAAACTATTGCCCTGGATAGAGTACTACAACACAGCAACCTCAAACTCTTGGGCTTAAGTGATTCTCTTGCCTCAGCCTCTCAAGTAGTTGGGACTATAGGTGTCTGCCACAACGCCGGGCTATTTTTTGTTGTTGTTGGTGGTGGTGGTGCTGGTGCTGCAGTTGTCATTGTTTTAGTGGGCCCGGGCCAGATTTGAACCCACCAGCCTAGGTGTGTGTAGGTGGCGCCCTATCCACTGAACCAAGGGGGCTTCCTGCTATTTCTTAGGGTTTCATAATTTTCTTTATAGAGGTCCTTTACCTCTTTTGTTAGGTCTATTTCTAGGTATTTAATTTCCTTCGCAGCTGTGGTGAATGGGGTTATGTCCTTAATTAGCTTCTCATGTTGGCTATTACTGGCATATACAAAGGCTAATGATTTGTGCACATTGATTTTATATCCTGAGACATTATTTTATTTTATTTATTTATTTAGAGACAGAGCCTCAAGCTGTCACCCTGGGCAGAGTGTCATGGCATCACAGCTCACAGCAACCCCCAACTCCTGGGCTTAAGCAATTCTCCTGCCTCCACCTCCCAAGTAGCCAGGACTACAGGCGCCCACCACAAAGCCTGGCGTTTTGTTTGTTTGTTTGTTTGTTTGTTTGCAGCCATCATTGTTTGGCAGGCCCGGGTTGGATGCAAACCCACCAGCTCGGGTATATATGGCTGGTGTCTTAGCCACTTAAGCCACAGGCACCGAGCCACATTATTGTATTTTTTTGATGACTTCCCAGACTCTTTGTGGTTGAGTTTTTGGGGTTCTCTAAGTATAAGATCATATCCTCAGCAAAGAGGGAGAGTTTGACCTCCCCTGCTCCCATTTGGATGCCCTTTATTTCCTTCTCTTGCCTGATTGTATAGGCTTGAACTTACAGTACTATGTTGAATAGTAGTGGCCATAGAGGACAACCTTGTATAGTTCTAGTTCTAAGTGGAAAAGCTTTCAGTTCTACACCATTCAGTAAAATATTAGCTGTGGATTTGTCTTAGATAGCTTCGATCAGTTTAAGAAATGTGCCACCTGGGCAGCACCCGCAGCTCGGTGGGTAGGGCACCAGCAATATACACCGAGGCTGGCAGGTTCGAACCCAGCCTGGGCCAGCTAAAAAACAATGACAACTGCAAAAATAAAAATAGCCAGGCATTGTGGAGGGCGCCTGTGGTCCCGGCTACTTGGGAGGCTGAGGCAAGAGAATCACTTCCGCCCAAGAGTTTGAGGTTGCTGTGAGCTGTGACACCATGGCACTCTACCCAGGGCGACAGCTTGAGACTCTTGTCTCAAAAGAAAGGAAAAAAAAAAAAGAAAGGAAATGTGCCACCTTTGCCTATACTCTTCAGTGTTCTAATTAGAAGAGGATGCTGGATTTTATCCAATGCTTTTTCTGTATCTATTGAGAGGATCATATGGTCTTTGTTTTTGCTTCTGTTGATATGGTGACTTACATTTATGGACTTGGGTATGTTACACCAGCCTTGCATCCCTGAGATGAAACCTACTTGATCCTGATGTATGGCTTTTTTGATGATAAGCTGTAATCTGTTGGCTTGGATTTTGTTGAGAATTTTTGCATCTATATTCCTTAGTGAAATTGATCTGAAGCTCTCCTTTTTGTTGGATCTTTTCCTGGTTTTGGTATCATGGTGAGATACCAAAACCAGGTGTTACTTTGTAGAACGTGTTGGGGGAAGATTCCTTCCTCCTCAGTTTTTTGCAGTAATTTCTGCAGTATGGGAATAAGCTCTTCTTTGAAGGTTTGATAGAATTCTGGTATGAAGTCATCTGGACCAGGGTATTTTTTTGTTGGGAGATTTTTTATTGTTTCTTCAAGTGCTTGAATTGGTCTGTTCAGGAGATCTATTTCTTCCTGGCTAAGTCTAGGGAGAGGGTATGATTCCAAATATTAGTCCATTTCCTTCACATTGTCAAATTTCTGGGCATTGAGTGTCTTGTATTCAGAGATAATCTCTTATATCTCTGTTTTTTCTCCCTTATCATTTCTGATGGAGGTTACTAGAGATTTTACTTTTCTATTTCTAGTTAGTTCGGCCAAAGGTTTGTCTGTTTTATTTTATTTTTATAAAAAACCAACTCCGGAGGCTTGGCGCCTGTGGCGCAAGTGGCTAAGGCGCCAGCCACATACACCTAAGGTGGCAGG